CGTACTGAACTTCATTGTGAAACGGGTTATTTGTATCTGACGGTTGAAGTGGATTGTCGTCGCTTAGGAATGGATTTCTTGATCGTTGTGGTGTGTTTTGATTTCCTTCGTCGCCATGTGACTGAGGCCACTGAAATTCACGAAATGCATCGCGAAAATTCGTAAACGGATTCCGACTTTTCGGTATAGAAGTTTGTATTCTCGTAAGAGACATGTCCTCGTAGTTCTCGTCCATGCTGCCACCAGTGTAACGTTGTGTCTTTCTCTTTTATTCTCTTATCATACTCAACATACACAAAACCAGTCGACTCACTCGCACACACACACTAGCCTCGTGCTCTAAGTTACATTTTGTCCCCCACTAGGGGAGGGGTACGTCAGTCGCTACAATATACTGGTGTTTGTATGGAAACTCCGCGAAAAATAGTAAATGTTGAAAAATGTTGCTTTTTTATGCTCAAGTAATCCGCCGATTAAGGAAATAATTAACTTTTTTGGGGGAAGTCGTCCGTTGATATTGTACAAGTCCGTAAAAATGAGATTAATCAGGAGTATTAAGGACAAAGCGGGGGCGGGTTGTCCGGCGTCTCCAAAGATTTAACTAATTCTTATTTACTCCAACGTATAAAAGGAAGAGTTAGTTTTTATCCAAGCCAGTCAGTTACTGGTAAAGCAAGCAGTGAAAACAATAAAATATAACTGACTCGAAGATTATAAGCTTGAAGTTATCTTCTTATGGGCCCGAACAGATATTGAAGGTTTGCTCAAATCAATCCAAATAGACGTATCGACATATTTTAACGCTTCGAGTTTATTTATTTACGTAGTAAAACTTGTTACAAGCGATTACTGAAGCTTCAAAAGCTTCAAAATGAGTTAAAAAGCGTCAAGCAAATCTTGATAGAGGCATTCCCAAGAACACGAACTAAGAGACTGCGATACGATCCTGAAAATCAGCGTAAGATCGATCGATGCCTTCAGTTCCAACGAGTCAAAAGTCCCACAATCACCTGTCGTGAAATCGCTTTGCTTTAGTGAATGTTGTAGTACTGCAGATATTCCAAGCCGATGAAGGCTACTCACTTGATCCTTCATCAGACTGATCAGTGATGAAACAACCACGACTATAAGACCAGAAGTATCAGCGTACATGCTACATGCTATTGAAAAGCAATGGCAGAGCAAGATATACCATCGATTTTCCACTTCCAGGCGGAAGAATTACAAAAATGTCCCTTCTTTTTAGCACGAATTGGAGCAAGGCTTCGCGTTGATAATTATTTAAATACATTAAATTATGTTTGTTTTGCACTGCTTCGTCGAACAACGCCATTTTGTTTACCAAACTCACGCGAAATTTTAGCCAATCAGGATCCAGCTCCCAGATTATAGTAGGTTAACTGTGATTGGCCAGAGAATGGGAATGGAATGTAGTGCTCGATTGAGCAGACGTTAGTGGGGAGGGAAGCGTTTACCGGACCGACACTAAGAACGGCTGCTGAGGAGGCTATACTGTTCGAGGCAGACAATAAATCATATATCCTTAATGTATTTTCTTGGGGTTCAGTTCTGACATTTGTTTTGATATTATTATTTGTTAATTGAATATTCAGAGCAATATATATAAATTGTATTTTCTTTCTCTTTTTCGACATTAGTTTTTTAAAAAGGCTGTTACTCATAAATTATAATTTGAAACAAAAACGAGCCACACGCTCTAAGCAACCAAAATGCCCCGAGGACTTGACTTGAGTTTGGATTCGAGTTAAGATTCGGGTTAGGATTCGAGTTAGGATTCGAGTTAGGATTCGGGTTAAAATTCGAGTTAGGATTCGGGTTAGGATTCGAGTTAGGATTCGAGTTGGGATTCGATTTAGGATTCGAGTTAGGATTCGGGTTAGGATTCGAGTTAGAATTCGAGTTAGAATTCGGGTTAGGACTCGAGTTCGGATTCGGGTTAGGATTCGGGTTTGGATTTGAATTAGGATTAGAGGTATGCAAAAAGAAAATGAAACAAGAGGCTGTTCTCGGGATCTATGGATTATGTTTGACGTGATCACTTTGAATTGCTTTGAGCTTTATGTCAGTTGTTTCGTCATCATTCGGCCTCGTTTCAGTTTTACGGGCCCAAAGTTCGTTTTGCGAATTCCTTAGAAAACAACAATCAGCTATTCTAGTCGTTGTCGTCACCTAAGACGTTTCGATCCCAATACAAGTATTGCTTTCTATCTTATATTATACTTAAATTGCTGTCAATAAAACGTTTCTTCTTAGAAAGAATTAAACATGTTTACTGCTGAGCACTTTAAAAGAATGTTTTAGTGCATGACTTAAACAACGGAGAGCTATTATTTAACGGCGCTAACATCATTTGTTTACCGTTTTAAAAATATAGACGGCTCAGCTCAACTTTTAAATAAATCGGAAAAAAAATACTGCTTTGCATTTTACTTAGTACAAGTAAAACATTGGACCCTAACGAACTCTTCACGGCTGTAAGAAGTATCCAAAATAAGAGGTTTCATAGTAACTCTAACCATTTCAAATTAAAATATTTTTTAAACGGCGATACGTGTTTAGTTATATATCCTCACTGCATACCTATCACCTCTTCAGTGATAAGTTATGGGAAGGTGCTGCGGATGCCGAGACAATAGGTATGCGAAGAGTAGGAGAAGGAAGCAATCGCCACCAGGGGAGGGGGGCGGGTCGAAATCCGGCTTGACCTCTGCTGGACTCTGACGAACTGACCAAGAACGACGAACCGAACGACGCTATTTAAGGAGAGTTCCCCCAGGCATCATGCCAGCCAATGCACGACCCGATCACGATGGAATTTTGAATATTTGAGGAATTTACACTTCGAGCTAATTATGTATGCAGTGAGAATAGTACATCTTTTGCTGTTCATTAATCGCAAAGGAATATTCATTGAAGCGAAGAAGCATCGTCATTAGAGCGAACAGGCATACAATAAGGCGAACGGAGTCTCAATAGTGCGATGGAACGTACTTAAACCTAGACGCTCAACGGCTGCATTTTATCCATAGAAATTGCTCATCGGGAGATTCAATTCGTTCATGTTCTTCAGATAGTGAGATTAGTACATTTGCAATTAATCAATATAAGAAAAATCCCGTAGAACAAGCAAACAATGCTTCCAATTCGATTCAGTATGTTTCGAGAACCCCTCGAATAATTTTGAAAACAAATAAACAATGCTTTCCTTAATTGGATGAAGGGGACAGGGTAAGTTTCCTTATATAGATGAAGGGGACGTACAGAGTAGATTTCTCATATAGATGAAGGGACAGGGTAGTTTCCTTATATGGAGATGGCGCGTCATTATCTGGCATCAAGGTCAATACGATGAAATCTGTACTTTGGGCCTATCCTCTTAATATTTAGTAAAGCAGAATACAACAGAAAAGGGGCTCCCTGTGTTAATGACGTATCTGCGGTCTTACCTAATAAGATATTGCAGGTTCAGCAATAGCAAAGTTGGCGAGTTTTATCATATCAAGCTTTACTCTATATGTTAGTGTCGAAGTTGGAGTAGAGAAAGCTCTATAAGAACCTGGGTTTTAAGAACCTGTTAGGCTAAAATTCTCACTTTAAGCCCCCTCCACATAAGAACCTATTAAGGCTACAATTTTAAGAAAGGTTCGTATCATTGGAGTTGCTGTAAAAGTGTATAGGTAGAAACTGCTATAAGTTTGTTTGAGCATGTGCTTGTGTAGGACATACTGCTCTGTACTAGGCTACGGGCTGCCTGTGTTGGAATCACAACGCCTTCTGGGTATTTTTCAAGATGCCCGACCTCTTGTTTCCAGGCCCTTACATATTCAAACGAGCGTTAAAATCCCCGCTCGATTCCCCACTGAGAAAACCATTAGTTAAATTAAGTGCAATCATGCTCTTAAAAGCACATCGAAAACGCGTCACGTCCCCGTTCAGTGCCCCACTAGCCGCGGTGATCGGGGGGCGGCGGTTTCAATAGCGCAATTCCGAGATATGCTTCGCTTGACACGCACAAAGGTTTCAGTATGAGGCTATGTGCTAAATGCTCAGTCATTCGTGACAGGCGGTAAGAATAAATTTAATTTAGCACGGAGCCTCATACTGAAACCTTTGTGAGCGACAAGCGAAGCATATCTCGGAGGTGGGCTATTGATTAGTGCATTGTCATTGTGGGCCTTACTTTGCCGACAAAAACAAAATGACTGTTGAGTTCTTAAACTTTCAAATCCTCTAATCCATCTTCGAATAGGCATACTCTTCGAACGCCTTGCACGAAGCGATTTTGTATGTATGTATGTATGTATGTATGTATGTATGTATGTATGTAT